CCCCCCCCCCCCGGGGGGGGGGGGGGAGGAATGATGAGGGGGTGCCAGCGCTCCCGCAGCATCCGCAGGGCCTCCTTAGGGGATGCGTTCCCTCGCGAAGGGAGGGCAGCCCCCTTTTCTTCTGGGCTGAACGGAGAGCTTGCGCTGCGGCTCAAAGCCCTTTGCCCACCTGCGCCAGACAGAGGCCTGGCCCGGAGGCTCACGGGCCAAAGGATCAGAGAAAATGCCCCGGTGGCATCCCAGAACTGACCCCAGGAGAGCTAAGCAGCAACCCAGGTGCCAAGGGGGGAGGGGGAGGGGGGAGGAATGTACCAGGGAGGGGAGCAAAGCAGACTGTACCATGCTGTCGGTAGATGGGGGGTTTCCTATAGATGTTATCTTTTATTCCAGCCTCTGAGGAAAAGGAAAGAAAAGAAAGAAAACAAGCAATGGGAACAGGGTTTCTCTCCCGCCCCGTTTCCCATAACTCTCCCCCCAGGGCCTCCCACTGGGCCCCCCGTCTGGCCACTCGCTCCCCCTGACAGGAGCCCTCCGAGCAAAATGTGGGGATCCAAGCGAAGGCGAAGCTCTCAATTCTCCCCAAACATTCATCTCAAAGCATGGATTCCTCCGATTAATCACTCATGTCTTTTACCACGAAAGACAACTTTTAAAACTCGACTCCAGGCGTTTCCCTCATTCCTAGAAGAATCACATCCAAACTGTCTGAGCTGGAATTTGGGATAAACTCTTTCGCCTATTTCTGTCTTCAAAAGGAGCCAGGTTACTTAAATCTCAGCTGTCAGTCAAACCAAAACGGATGGGAGAAGAAATCTGATGATTTCCTTGCAACCCCCTGACCTACCTACCCACTTTCCTTCCTTCCTTCCCTTATTTTCTCTTCTGTCCCTCCCTTCCTTCCTTCCTTCCTTCCCCCAACATCAGCCTCTCCCTCTAAGTGACCAGGGAGACCAAGGCGAGAGGGGGAGAGATGGGAGGTGAAGTTCTCCCATCCAAAAGCAGCTTGGGACCCTGGGGAATTCATCAACTGGGGAATGTACAGGCTCCAGGCCTTCTCTGTCCTCCACTCCTCCTTTGCCGAGAGGCTGGAGGATTCCTTTTTCTGCTTCCGGAAGGGCTTCCTACCAGAGCAGACGCTTCCAGAGAAATATGCTCTTCGCTCCTAGAAAAACCCTGTTTCTGTTCTTCCCATGCACGTATTTTCTCCATTCTGCCTCGCCCTACGGAACGAGCCCACCGGTCGGCCTGGAAAACGTTGCGGGGGAAAAGCGCGGGAGTCATGAATCGTACCTGGAATATGAAAATGTTTGGGAGCCTGCTGATAGAGAGAGGAGGATGCGGATTTGCCGTCTGAGCAGAGGGATAAGCTGGGGGTGCTCCGGCCACTTTCACTGCCTCCAAAGGGAAGAGCACAAAAATGGAAAAGAAAAGGGAAAAAAAGCATATAAAACCAAAAGAAATGGCAGCAAAATAGGTAAAATTCAAGGGAAGAAAAGCTCCTTTGGGATAACTGGATAATCCGCCACACATTTAAAATAGTTTGGGACTCGTCTTCCAGCCCTGGCTCTGATTCTGGAGGCAACGAGGCCAAAAGGCTGGGATGGGGCTGGGAACTGTATCCCCCGTCAACGGAGACCTTGGACGACCAAGGGGTGGATCCCTGCTGTGGAATGGGAGATTTCTGCTTCTTTAGAGAAGCCATTGTTCAGGGACGCGAGGGGATCATCGGAGGGGGCTCCTCTGTTTCACCAGGAAAAACCTGGAGCTGGAGGCCCCCATGCACTTGTGCCCTCTGGGGAACGGCCAGAGGTCTCCCCCTCCCACTCTCCCAAAACAGCCCCCTCCCCAGCCGCACTGAGCCCCCGCCTGCACTGCTGGCCTTTCGGGCATCCTGGCACACCGCTCGGCTGCACAGCTCAACGCCACCCGGCCGACAGGCCACCAGTTCATCTCCTGGCTCTTTTCAATTGGGGAGGGCTATGGGGGCCCCGGGGCCTGCAAGGGTCTCTCCTGCCAGTCACAGAACACAACTGGAAGGAGCTGAAAGACTCTGTAGGCCGGGCAACGGAAGCACAATGGGCAGCTCCCTCTCTTTCTCTGGGTGTGAAATAACTTGGCTATTTTGGATGAGCAGAGAGCGACCTGCGGTGGAGTTTCCGTTTGCGTCTGTCCTCCTGAATGCAGGTCAGGACGTGTGTGTGTGTGTCTGTGTGTGTGTGCGTGAGCGGATGAGACGGTTGGAAGGGCTTTCAGTATAGTTTTCTTCCTCTGACCCAGAACCTATTTTGCTCCCTCCGTCCCTACACCATGGAAAGGCTGCTGACCGGGATGGAAAGGTGCCTAGTGGGAAGGCGCCTATGTCTGCCCTCCTGTTTCCAGCTCCAGGTGCGCATGAGTGGTAAGAAGGTGCCCTGGAGGCAGGACAGAGGGGTGCCCGGTGGGAGAAGGGCACCCCAAGAAAAAGGGCCACGGGGCAGTGATCCTCCCGGGGAGGCGATCTCTGCGCAGGAGAAGGTCCCTGGCTGATCCGATGCCGATTCTGGCTGATCACCGGAATAGCTGTGGGACCTGCTCTGGTTCTGGCGTCCCAGATCCTCAGGTGGCTTGGGTCTTTTCAAGGTAGAGCACGTCAGGAGGATGGTTGTCCCCCCCAGCCCTCAGGCAGCCTTAGCCCAGCTCCTCCCCAGGCCCCTGAGGTCCCCCAGGGTCTCAAACAGCCCCCCCCCGGAGTCCCTTCCCTTGTGCTGGGATCACGGACACCCTGGCTCTCTAAGCGAAGCGAGGCAGGACCTCAGCAACCGCAGGAGACACCCAGCCGCCCAAGCACCCAAGAGGTTTCTTCTTGGCTTGGCCCAAACCCTGAGAAGCCCCGTTTGAAACAGAGTCGTATCCTTTATAAAGTTTTAAAAGCGTTGCCTGTTCTGGCGGAGGGCCTGGGCTGGACCTCCACCTGAGAAAGGGCTCACAGACGCTGGAAGGAAAAACACCCCACGCAGGCACATGCAGACGGACAGACGGACAGACAGAGCACGAAGCACACACCGGGGGCTCTCTCTACAGGGACCACGTCACGGGGGGGGGCAGGAGGGGTGGGGGGGGAGGCATTCCCGAGCCTTACCTTTGAAGAAGGGGATGTAATGATGCCTGAGTGCAGAGGGAAGGCTTGGGTGGTTGGGCAGGGAGATGCAGCTACTGGTACCAGGAGTCTGGGTACCAGCTGGGGGGCAACAGAAAGTTCAGTGAAAACTCACTCCCTTGCCAGAAAGTTCCCACAACAACAACAACAACAACAACAACAACAGCTTTCAATGCATGAAAAAAGCCCCAATGCAAATGCAGAAAAGGTTTGCCACGTTGCTCTGTTCCCAGCACCCCCGTCAGAGGGAGGCACTCTGGCCACTCTGGCCACAGGCAGCGTCCCAGGGGGCTTCTCAGCCCAAGGAGCCCTTTTGCTCAGAGGGAGACCCTCCGCTCTAAAGACAAAAGCCCCTCCCTCTCCTTCAGTAGGATGCCTGGCCCAGGGAAAAGGGGGTGCGGTGCGTTGTGTCCCCTTCATTTCCCAGCCTGACCAGAGCCCCCCCCCCCCGATTCTCAGCAGAGCCCCCTGAAGAAATGGTTTCCTGGGCTGGAACCTTCTCCCGCCCAGCACAGGACCTCCCGTCATCCGGACCACTGCTCCGTAATTCACCTACATTACTGAGCGATGGTTGAAGCCACAGGAAGAGGCGGTTGCTTGAACAAGCCGCAGTCAGTCAGAGGCATCGTTCGGACCCAGCCCCCGCGAGGCTTTGCACCCTGAAAGGCCTTTGGAAATCATCCCTTGGGTCTCACCCGCACACAGCCCCCCCCCCTGTGTTAATCAATGAAACAGCCGTATTTCCCCCCATGCTTCCATGAGCCTGCAAGGAAAAGGACGCGGCTGCTTAAACCAAATCAAGGCCCAGAGGCCCCGGAAGCCTGGCAAGAGGGGCTGCTCCCACCGGGAAACCTGCCACAGAAACGCCCAATTAGAGATAAACCCAAGTCTTATCACCCATCAGACTCCAGGGGTGAAACTCAATTTCTTTCACCACCGGTTCTGTGGGCGGGGCTTGGTGGGCGTGGCAGGGGGAGGATACTGCAAAATCCCCCTTCCCTCCCCCCTTTGGGGCCGGCCGGAGGCGGCATTGGCCGGTTCTCCCAACTACTCAAAGTTTCCGCTACCGGCTCTCCAGAACCTGCTGGATTTCGCCCCCGTCACAAATCCCTGTGTTGATACACCTCCCCTAACCCCCCCCCCAAACCGTATGAAAGGGAAACAAACACCCCAATGCATTAATGTTTCACATGATGCATGAAGTCAAGTGGACGAAAGGAAAAATCCAGGGCGTGTGCCAGGGCGTCCTATGTGCAGAGGGCAGCAGGCTCTTCTTAATGCCCTTCAGGACATTCCGACTCCAGTTGGAAAGGGAGACGCCCATTAAAGGCTCTTGACTAACCACAAGGAAGCAGCAGCTAATCCAAAGTCCTCCTTTGGGAGTTGGAGGGCAAAGGCCTCAGCCCCAAGGCAGCACTGGGGCCACTCAGAAGCTCTGCCAGCTATCAGGTCCCTCAACGCAGGGAAGTCGTGGCTTATTTTTGGAATCATCAGCTCCACCACCCGGGAGCGACGGGGTTGGCACAACCGGCCAAGAATGACCTACAGACAGTGTCGCAAAAGCCCAAACTGAGAGCCGGGAATGGGCCTCCTCTTACCAAGCGGGGAGGAGGGAGAAGGGGAGACGCTCAGCCAAGGCCGTGCAGGTCATACAAGGAGCAAGCAAGGAGACACATCAACGGGAGCCACGGGTGGCATCGCCAATCTGCAGGCTCTCGGGGGCAGTTCAGCTACCGCAAGATCTCCCCTCCCCAAAGGAAGAGCCAGGGCCAAATGGCCAGTGGCCCTCAGGAGCAGTGGGGGACAGCCTTTTCGGTACCCGGTGCCCAAACCGGAACCTCTGTGCAGATGTGGCCACCAGAGTGCCGGAAACCCGAAGACCAGCTGGCCAGTGCATGCATGCTTGGGTTTTTTGGATGTTTTTCAGGCTGTTTTGGGGGCCTAGAAAAATGCCCCCCAAACAGCCCAACCCCCCTCCAAAAGAACCAGCCTGGGAGATGGTCATTTTGGGGCCCATTTTCAGGCCGTGGAGATGAGCTGGCTGGCGCGCATGAAGAGCAACTGGCGATGGTGAGAGAGGGCTCTGTGTCCCACCTCTGGCACACGTGCCACAGGTTTGCCATCCTGGCCGTGGAGTCCAGGTGGAGCTGTGTGTGGGGGGGACACAGAGCGTGGCTTTGGCCTGATGCCAGCTCTCCTTTGGGGCCTTTCCTCCGTGAACTGGGCACACGGGGAGCTCCCATCACAGCACCACGAGACGAGAGCAAACGAGGGTCTCTGGCCAAGCTCAGCAGGTTAAACACAAAAACATGCAAACGTGCAAACCAACAAAACAAGCACAACTCAAAAGGCCGGTTCCTTCCTTCGGCTCCCCCTGCAGTGAAATTGGGTCTGTTTCTCTTCTCTAAAAAGCCCACTTTCTCACCACTCTGAGGGCGGATTTGCTAAAAAGGAGAAATGAAACCGCTCCGGAGGTAACCAGAGCGCACTCCTGCGGCCCACCGCCGAGGGAAGGCATCGACCCACAAGGAAATTTGTAGGTTGTGTGTTGGTGGCTTTAGAAATCTCATCCACCTGACCAGTCCAGACAGCTGGGCCCGAGAGGGACCCAACTCAGAGAAGGCAAATGTGGGCGACTGGCAGAAAAAAGAAGGAGTGGGCTGGTGAAGGAGAGGACCGCGTCCCGCATCCCCCCCGCCTTGGAGAAATGGTGGCTGGCATGGGGAAACCACCTAGAAGCCACCTAGAAGCCATTCGGTGCTTCTTCCTCTCTAGAAAAGCATTTCAAGGTCACTGGCTCCAGGGACCAATTACTCCTGTCTGACCCTCTCGGCTTGCTCACAAATGCTGAAAAATTTAGAAAGTGGGTTTCCCTTCGAGAGTTTCTAGGCACACAAACACCCGTTCGCACACACAGACCAGGAACAAAAATACGTATTTGGTAGAAATATCCATCTTCTGCCTTTCCCCTAAAAGACGGGTAATAAAATTGGTCCCTGTCGTATCCAAAGCGTGATGGGGCCCACTCAGCTCAGGTGTGTTTATCCACAGCCGACACCTGTTGGAACCGCATTCATGACTCAGAAGAAGAGAGCCGCCAAGGGAGTCCCCCTCCGCTCCCTCCGGAAAAGCAGGGGCCAGGGCAGAGGAAGGGCTCCCTGTGGCTAAGGGGCTTTTCTCCTTCCGTGCGGAGGCCTCAAGGCCAGCGATCTTGGCTGCTGGGCACAAAGAGCTCCCTCTCAGGTCTGTCTACCGGACCACGTTGAAAGCTCTCTGCCCCCCCTCTCCCCCCAGCCACAAGAGAGGGGGGGGAGGCTCTTCTGGAGGACGAAGGGAGGCGGGCGTGAGCCTATCCGGCCCCTTACCTGCCCGGCTGAAATTCGGAGGCGAAGTGCAAAGAGGCGTGGTGCGCCCATAGCCCAGCGAGCTGGTGGAACTGGGGCTCGAAATCCGGCAGGGCTTGAGGGGCTGCTCCTCTTGGTCTCCCTGTGAGGAGGAGAGGGAAGGTGGGCCGCTTTTATGCCGTCAGCAGCCGCTCTGAGATACCAAACGTGGCGTTCCTGGGACTTTCCCCAGGCGTCTGTGTCCGCCAGGGAACCTCCTTCTCCGCGGAGGAAGCAAAAGGTACCAATCCAGTGTGGCAGGTAGGCCTGACTGTCGGGTCCTGGACGGAGGACTTTGCCCGGAACACGGGGGCTCCCCTGCCCCCCATGAAACCCCAGTAACCACAATGGCTATTTCTGCGGGCCTGCAGAGACAGGCGGTACCTCGGCATAGCTGCGCCGGTCGTTGGTGGAGTGGCTGATGTAGGGGGAGTAGGAGATCATGTCCGGACGGTCAATGTTGTAGATGGCCTTGTTCTTAGGGAGGGCAGCCAAGTCTCGGTAGTCAAGGATTTCCTCCCCCAGTTTGGCCTAAACGAAAGAAGAAACAGAATATATAAAATTAAATCCGAGGATATGTGCTATTAGTAGCAGAACAGAACAACAGGTGGAAATGACATGTAAAATTTGATAAATTTGGAGAGGCAAATAAGGATGCTGCTTATATATTAAGAAGACATTAAATTAAGTGGGAAAATATGGAATGAAAATAAGATGACTGAAATGTAAAATGAAAATACGACGTGAAATGAACTAATAGTAAGATTTAAAGGGGGAAACACCCGGACAACACTTGGTTTAAAAAAAGAGGTTAAAATATGTAACAAAAAATAAAACAAAAACTTTGTTTCATTTAAAAAAAACCAAAAAACGGAAGGTGGCAGCTTCCTTGATAAAAATGCTAATAACAATAACAATAATTCCTGACTCCATACAGTGGATCCCCCAGAGATTTTAGAGCACTTACAAAGTGAAATTGTGGAATTGACCAGAGAAAGGGAAATGAAACATTCTCCTACAATAGCCTCTATCCCTAGGAACGGGGAAATGGCTGGTGGAGCTTCCTTTTCAAAAAGGAATCGGAGGAGGTTACTGGAAATGGTCACCATTTAAGATCCGTTCCAGGAAAAACGGTGGAAAATATGACGGAAGAAAGCAAAGGCAGGCGGCTTTGTGGTGGTGGTGGCGTCAGCCACGTCCGAAGCAGACCGGATCAGGAACTCAACGTCAAGGAAGGCCAGAAGGATGCTTCCTTGAGATGGGCTGTAACAAAAGCCTTCACTCGTGGCAACTTTAAGGCTTGTGGACTCCAGCAGAGCTGGCTGGAGAATTCCGGGAGTTGAAGTCCAGGAGTCTTAAAAGTTGTGACGGTTGGGGACCCCTCTGGGCTATGAGAAGACTGCCTTCCTTGCAAGTGTTACTCTGCCGCCCCTTCCTCCTCCTTGGGGCCCAGTGGACGAGGGAGGCATTTGCCTTGAGCTGCTTCCAATGGTTATCCGGCTTCCCAGCTCTTGAAGACTGGAGTCAGCTTGCTAAGGATGCTGCCCTGCCACTTCTCCCTTCCCCCAAGGGCTCCCTCACCAACCCTCGCGTTTGCAGTCCTCCCCTGAAATGGGGCCGTCCGCTGGGACCGGCAAGGTCCGCCTGGGCTGCCTCTGGAAGGGTCTGCTGCCAATGCACAGCTGGCCCCCAAGACGGTTGGCCTTCAGGAGGAGGAGGAGGAGGAGGAGGAGGCTTGAGCGAGGATGATGGGCATCCTTTGTGT